AAGCCAGCCTGTGAACCTCAAAGAGGGCTTGGGTTGTATAATGGAGATCTGTAGTCACTCCTTCCACCCCAGAATGGCCATCACGTAGCAGCAAGCAGGTGGAGGGGTGGGCAGGGCAGAAAATCTCCCTTCTGCACTTTGAATTAAGGCGCTGCATGTCCCTTAAAGCTGTCTGCTTGTTGTCCTCAGCTTGATAAGTTAGAAAGTCATCTGTGCTACCTATAGCAAAGCCCTCTGCCACCCAGTAGAAGAGACACCCACACTCAGGGCACACAGAGGGTACAGTCCACTGTACGCAAGGGAATAGGCTCTGCCCTCAGCAGCCAGCCTGACTAACGCATATAGTTAAATAAGAAACAAACTGCAGCAAAACCCTTTCCAGCTATAGATGTGTGATGACTATTTGCAGAGAAAAGGAATAACTAATTAACCAAACAAAAAGTTAAAACTACAATGTTCTTATTCCCTCTCCTCAACAAACTCTTCAAATTATTAAAAAGACTTAAGATAGTCGATAGCATAAGAAAATGTGCTCAATACTTTAATTTTATTTTTCTTAGACAAGGAACCAAAATCCTGATATTAAATACAATTCCACACATAACTCACTCCTCAGAGTTCAAGTGTTACTTTCTAACACCATCCCACACTACACTTTTGGTGAACCAATAAACATCATAGCAACTGTTCATTAAAGAGATTATTCTCAGCTACTTCAGTGATGACAGCATAGGCGAGCTATTGCTGGCACTTTCAAATCCAGCTTTCTGATACAAAACATCATCTTGCCTTAAAATGCAAACCTATCAGAAATGGGGATTAAAAAAAAAAAGCAGTAAAGCTGAAACAGATGCAAATCTTGCAATAAAGGATAGATGTCTCTTATAATTTGCAGTAAACATTTTGAAAGATTTTTGCAAGTAGTAAGTTTGATTAAACTACTGAAAGCTTCAGAAAGGAGAAAAAAAGATCATCAGTGTTAAATAATATCTGTTGGACTGCTCCTTGTTTTCAGACTGATCTAGAAGTTTTGAAATTTAAGTTTAAAGCTACCCCTGGTAATTATTACAATAACTGTGCTCATTCTGTGAAGGAACAAATGTGGAAGAAAACCTTCAAACAACTAAAAATGAACTATACAATTGCAGTTTTAAGATTAACTTAAAGAGGTTAGTTTATTACAGCTAAGCTTTTCTATAATTTCATCTTTTTTATTCTGTTTTTCTGGTCCCACTATTTTACATATATGATCAAAAAAGATTTCAAGTCAAAACAGGGCAGGGAACAGGAATCTAGATGACAAATATTCCTTCTAACAAGGATTAGTTGAGAGGTATGCTACAGTGGCTGTGAAAAAAAAAATAGATAATTTGCATTACTTCTAGACTTACTAGCTGTCACAAAATTTAAAGAGTAATCAGTCCTAGTGTACAAAAAAATATTATTTTGTAACAAAGTTTATAGCATTTTTCAGTTTGATCATTATTTGCAGTTTTCTCCAGTCAAAATCATTCCGTGCGTACTTCTCAGTGACCTATGTCCTAAATCATTTTCAATTCCTATGAGCAAGTGACCTCTTCACGATCTCACTCACAAAGAAAAAACATGATGACTCCCATGAACCATTAATTTTCAACCACCATCAGAATTTAATTTCTCCAAAATAAACCTGGTAAATATAGAAATGGAACAAAAGAGTACTCAGTGTTCAAGAAATATTAATTAATCACTCTATCAGAGAGATAGATAAATACCAGCCCTCACATTTCAATGATGAAAAACAAAGAGGTTAAGTGACATTTTCAATGACACATAGCAAAACACTGCCACAACATGGATCACATCTCAGAAGTTTTCTATTGTTTTCAGCCCACTAGCCTTGAATAACTCCTGTGCATGCAATGCTGAATCAGGTATATTCATCAGAATACAAAAAGCTTATTCTAGCTCACATAAATCAGTCAAAAAAAATAATTCTTATACTACAGTATTTTTTTAAAAATACATTCAAGTCCAATAAGAACTTCTCCAAAAATATAATGGAGTCTGACAAGAATATTTCTAAGTAAATACACCTTTAATTTTAAAATATTGGTTCCAACAAGTTCTACTACAGAAAGCATTTAAAAAATGTATAAGCAACAGATGATTACTGAAAAAAAAGATCAACAAATAGTCACTTCAAAAAACCTATGAAGCTATTCACCTGACTATTGTATAAACTCTAGTGAAACTTTAATATAGTACCATGTATACACTGATTAAAATGTCCTGATATACTTCTTTTACTCTTCCTCACATTAAAAAAACCTCTAATGTTGTTGTTCCCTATAGACTCCCTTTGGTCATTTTACACGAATCTTCACTAAACAGAAAGCTACAAAACCTGTAGGCTTTTTCGTCTCTCAAATCTTATAAACACTGCACTGTAGCGAAGATCTTGTGACACAACGATCACTGTGGTTAAACTAAAAACAAAGAAATACACAAATATTTATACAATTGATTCTGCTTAACCCCCCCGAGTAAGGTTACTTTTAAACCTTAAAGCCTACACCAACAAGGCCTCACATGAAGCAGTGTTTCATGTGTTACATATTAACAGAATAAATTAGGATGTCTAATTATATGACTTTTGTATGTCACTAAGTTATCTATCAATGGGCATAAAGGTTACTATATGTATTTTGGAAATGTTACATTTGAAACACTCTTTCCTTTCCCTCAACCGTTCTGAAATCTACTATTCTGAGTACCTAAGTGAATGATTTAAGTATACAAAAATGCTACAGAACACTACCACTTTGTAAGAAGCACAGCAAATTATCACAAAATAGGGGTCTTTTAAGTATTACATTTACATTACAAATTATTATAGTCAGGAAAAAAACTTAGATTAAAAAAATACTGATTTGAACATATCTCAAAAGGATTTAGTGTAGCATTAGAGAAACCAATTTAATAATTAATCATATTTTCTTTAGAGTAATATTACTAGCAGTAGCGTTATTCCTTAATGGTTTTAAATTACTTAGCATGCAGAAGAAAAAATTTAAACCTGTCAAAATCTCTTAAAACTTTGTCTCTGACTTCTCTCCCACCCCCCTTCCTGAAATTAACATGCTGATATAGACACCAGGCGCAACTTCCAAGTCCCACACTTGTAACAAAATTTCCAAGGGCCTGGCGCAAGCCCGTGGAGTCAATGGAGGGATTCCTACTATTGTCAATGGAAAGATTCCCACTCACTAGAATGAGTTTGGATAGGGGTTTTATTGCACGAAAAGATCAGAGGAAATCCTCTTTGGAAGGGAAACTTCTGTGTTTCTTTCGGTAAGGACATAGACAAGCAAGACTTCTTAAAAGTAGAAGCGGTTCCCTGGTAGAGGGTACTGTCTGTTTTTCCATCTGCAGCTCTGCACTCTTTACTAAGAGAGGACAATACCATAAATTTAGAGTGGTTACTTCTGAGATTATTTTTCCAGGAGAATATACCAGCAGTCTGCTTTCTGTCTGGACTACTCCCACAAATCTTAGATGAATGTTTTCTTGCCTGCCCACAGCCCGGGCTTTTCCCCTCTCCAGGAGCTCCATCCCGGGACCTTACCAGCGCTCGCAAGTGTTCTCGGCTGGAGGCTACGCTGGGACAGAGGCCCGCTGCCCGCCGAACCTGGCATGAGCCGAACTGCGGGAAAGAGCAAGAGCGGCTCACCGGCTGCCTTTACCTTGGCCGTGCAGGCTTCGACGGCCGGCACAGGCTTCCCGACAGACTACGGGAGGCCAAGAGCGCTGCCGTCTGCGCGCCCGTGCTCGAAGCGGCACAACGCGGACCAGAGGCGCCGGCGCTCGCCCTCCCTCGCGTGGCTGCCCTGGCATTCCCGATGGCACGGCAAAGCCTATCCCGCTCCATAGCTGGGGCCGTCGCCGCTCCCTTCTCCTCAAAATCAATCACACTTTTCAAACTTTCCAACTCCCGCAGACCTTTTCAATTTCAAGAGCCAATTTTAAGAGAAGGCCCCTACGTACCAGGCACGGAGGCCACCTCCGGAACCCCGCAGCTCCAACATCGTTATTTATTAATTCTTGGGTTTAGGCAATTTTTGTCTTGGGTAGAGGGACGAGACTGTTCCCTGTGCAGCCCAAACAGCGCCGGGGGGCACCGCGACACCAAGGGCACCTAATCGCCTCTGCGCTTCCCCTCCCACGCCAGCGGGGGCGCCCCGGGGCCGCACAGCGCGGGGCGCCCCGAGGGGGCGGCGGCAGCAGCCCCTCCGCACGGGCGGGCGGGTAGAGAGGCGGGGGCTGGGGTGCGTCTCTCCCTCCGGCGGGCAGGCAGCACACAAAGGAGAAACGTGACACGTTTCTTCACCCGGGCTGTCTGCTGGGGAGGTCTCGGGGAAAAACAAAACAACAAAAAAAAAGAAGAAAAAATAAAAAGAGGGAAAAGAAAAAAACCCACACCACACAAACGGGGAGGGGAGCCGCGGGCAGCCCAGCCTCCCGCACAAGCTCCCTTGCAGCCTGGCCCCGAGCCCTCTCCGCCTCGCACTTCTGTTCCGTGCGGAGAGGCTACAGGTTGTTTGTTTTTAATTACAAGGGGGGCGGGAGGGTCCGCGGCGCTGCGCGGAGGGAGGTCGGCCCCGCCGACCCGCTGCCACCCGGGGTGGTTTGAGGGGAGCTTCCGCCACTGCCGGCCCGGCCCGCCGGGTTAGGCGGGCACGGCCCCAACTCCGGCCGGGGCACCGGCAGCCGCCGGGCGCGCCCCACGCCCCCCGCCCGCCGTGTATATTTGGGAGCGGAGCCACCGGGTGCCCAGAGACCTGACACATGTCACTGCTGCGGCCGCGCCGGCCGCTGCCAAACTTTCCCGCGGCGGCAAGTCAGTGAGCGGCAGCGGAGCGGGGGGGTAGCGGGTGGAAGTAGCAAGTCGCACCGGGGAGCGGCGGGAGGAGGGGACGGGTGTGCGGGGCGGGGGGGGTGGGGTGGGGGGTAGCACTTACCGGGAGCAGACACCGTGCAGGGCGTCCCGGCGAGCTGACACCGAGAAAAAGGGCGAGCGGAACCGCGCTCAGCCGCGCACATGCAGAGTCCCTGCGGGCGGAGCCGCCGCGCGGGCCGGGGGCGCGGGGGCGGGCGGGCGGCGCGG